CTTGGTTTTGGATTTCTGGCCTCCAGAACTGGGAGAGAATAAATTTCTGTTGTTGAAGCCACAGTGTGTGGTAATTTGTTAGCACCATCCCAGGAAACTCATAGAGAATGTCAGCGAGAAGATCTACTCAGGGCACCCTTCTACGTCATCAATGCAGGGAAGAACACCCGCAAGCTTACCCACCCCAGGGCTGCTGCAGGCATCTAACCAGAATGCGCACGGGAGGGGACCCCGAAAAAAACCATACAACACTGTAGCACTGGGCTGGTACTGATGATGGGGAGAGGGAACAGCTCTCTCGAATTCACAGAGGCGTCCCTCTGCTCAGGGACTATTCAGGCCTTGTGTTTCTAGCTCTTTCCTGCTGGTCATCTTACCACCCAGCGGCACCTCCTATCAGAAAGCGTGAAATTCAATTCAGGTCAGCACTTCAACCGGGGCTGAGCAGAGAAAGAAGTTTCACCCATCAGCTAAAATAAGGCCTGGGGATTATCTACGGGTCTCAATTAGCCAAGAGAACAGGTCTCTCCATTACCATAAATAATCGACAGAGGGAATATACGTTCCAAGGCAAATGATACCCTGTGCCCAAGTCACCTTCCCACAGAGAACACTACAATCTGTCCCTCTCTTTGGGAGCACATGGCTGCCACTCCCCACCCCTTCTGGGCAGATAAACCCTGGGACCGATGATGGCCGCGCTGACCTCCAATAGCTGGCAGCATGCAGAATTCTAGTCTCACAGACTTGAGTCGGATTGGTATGCATGGGCAGCTATAGCCGTGACTCAACACCTGCAGAGAAAATGTAGGGTTGTACTCCTCTCCGCGGGCACCGTTTCTGCACTGTTGCGCTGACTCAAAGCACCCTTTGAAGTCCATAGGACCTGTATCAATGAACACTAGGAACCAGGCCCTACGTGCCAATTTCCATCATTCACAAGTACTTCAAAAAGATGAGGCAGAGCAGGAAGTTCAAAAGAATCCGCCCGCAACTGCAGAATGCAATCTCCGAAATTACAGGCAGTGCCTTGTCACACAGGGCACACCAAGCAGGTGCTTTGCAAATGCCTCCTTCTTGCCAAGAAGTCCCTGCCAAGGATTAATAGGAATTTCCAGTTCTCTAAGCATTTCTTGTTCCTCAGAGCGATTACCCCTAAATTTCTAGCACTTCAAAAATACAGGATTTAGCACCTGTTTGTTTCAGAAATACTTGCTAAAAACAGATCTGCCAAAAGGCCACCTCTAAAATTAGTCATATTTCCTGCTCTGCAAAACATAGTAAATGGTATTTTTAGTAACTCCTTCACTCCAGGTATCTGGCACCGTCGTGCTCTAAGCATGATCATTGGCAAGTTAGTAAGCAGGCAACCCTTATTCTTAGCCTAAAAATAGTTCTGATGGAAGTGACAGGCAGGCTTATTATTTTTTAACCAAAGGTTAGAACAAGATACTTCAATATCCTCACCAATCATTTTATATACTCAACTTTGTATCTCAGTGAGACTCAATCACAAAAGAAGGTAACGGTGGCACGGACTGTCTGTTCTTGTTTTGTAGTTTGCCTGCCTACAGTATCTGAGATACACCTACTCTTTTCTCGATTCAGTTTTTCCAACTATATTTTTTCAACTTTTATCAATTTTTTACAAAATGTAATAACCTGTCATGTGCCAGAGACCATGCCTATCCTGGTTCATGGTATCATGAACCAACACCAGGGTTCCAGCAATTCTCGTGTGTCAGCCATCCAAGCAGCTGGGACTACAGGTGTGTGTCACCACACCCAGCTAATTTTTGTATTTTTAGTAGAGATGGGGTTTCTCCATGTTGGCCAGGCTGGTCTCAAACTCCTGACCTCAAGTGATCCACCGGCCTCAGCCTCCCAAAGTGCTGGGATAACAGGCATGAGCCACCACATCCGGCCGCTAAATCAAACTTCTAAGGAATTATCTAAATACATTGCTGATGACAAAGGACCACTGTTTTACTGATTCCTTATAAACATTATTTATAATGTCTGTATTAGAAACATTATACGTGGTTTCTAAGTTGCTTCTATTTTAAGTTTAATGTTTATAGAAATTTAAAATCTTAAACTCTTTTTTTTTTTTTTTTTTTTTGAGATGGAGTCTCATTCTGTCACCCACGCTGGAGTGCAGTGGCAAAATCTAGGCTCACTGCAACCTCCACCTCCCAAATTCAAGCAATTCTCCTGCCGCAGCCTCCCAAGTAGCTGGGATTACAGGTGTGCACCACCACACCTGGCTATTTTTTGTATTTTTAGTAGAGACAGGGTTTCACCATGTTGGCCAGGCTGATCTAGAACTCCTGACCTCAAGTGATCCACCCACCTTGGCCTCCCAAAGTGTTAGGATTGGCCTTAGTTAGGTAATACCCAAAACTAGAGTGGGGATGGGGACTCATTTTAATTTAGCAATCCTTCTCAGAGTCAAGCATACACACACACAACCATTTTAATCCCTACAATCTGCTAAAACCCAAATCTATTAGTTAAGCATTAACTGTGCTGGATTTTGGGAGATAAATGCTATTAATGACACCATTGTTTCTTTAAAGCCAGCGACTGAGTGAACTAAAATCCAGATTTCTCCCAATGCCTGCAATCCCTGAAGCACTGATTCTCCCCGCGGGGGAGAAGCATCCCAGGAAACCAAGTTTTTCCAACACAGACATCTCTCCCCTGCCTCCATCTCCACCGAAGAACCACCATCCTTAACCGCAGTCCATCAATGGGCCCAGGGGAACAATTTCACATCCAATTAACATCTCCTGTCATTGCAACAATCAAGTGAGATTCATCATTTAAGAAAGATAAAACGGGAGGGAAAGGGGAGTGGGCACCTGGGGGAGCAGCGAGTCTCTTCATGTGAATCCTATTTGGGCAGGAATGCCCTGCATGTGGGGCTTCCCAATGGGCCCGGCACAGGGCTCCAGAACCTCAGCGCTGGCTGAGCTCTGAATCCACCCCCAGGCAGTTCAGCCCAAGCCAAGAGTTTTATGGTGCAAAAATGCGCTGCTACAGAGCCAGAGGCACAGCACAACACAGCGAAGTGGAGAGAAGCCAGAAGTCTGCAGCAGGGCAGGCGAAAAGAATGTACTTGCAGTGTTTGCCATTACGTTGTCAGCATAAAGACTCGTCTCTTTCCGTTATGTTTAGAGAGGAAATATGCACGACCAGACTGAATCCTATATGTTTCCAATGAAAATAAACTTCCATCGCCAGTGCCAACAGGAATTTACACGGGGCCAGGAGAAGTGAGCTCACTCTAATTAACCGACTGTGTGGCCTCACAGCATCCTTGCGCCCTGAACGGACTCGCAGTGTGGAAGTCAGACAGCTCACTACGAAACGAATCGAATCGAATCGAGGAGTAAACGTGTGCCTCGCTCCCTGCGGACTAGAACAAGGTTTGGAGGTTTTTCCTTTTTTTTTTGAAGAGTTACTCAAGTTCATAGTGAACACTCCCTTTTTGCATGGGAATGCAGGCACTTTTAAAAACTACTCACTCTAACCCCACGTACCCATAATAAAGGGGTGCTCGCTCAGAACGGCTGTAGGGAATACAGGGAAAATGACAAGGGTGACAGAGACCTGCACTCACAGGCAAGAGGCTCCAGAACAAAGTGGGGAAATGGGGGGAGGGGAACTAAAGGTGGGGTGAGGCTGGTGACAGGCAAAAAGGGCAGGTTGGCCCTGTGACCAGGGGTTTCACAGGGCAGCCCTAGGCTGGGCAGAGGTCCCCAGGAGGAAGGCAGAGGGCTTGGCTCCCAGGCCACCCGCTCGGTTGGGAAGTGAACTCTGCCTTCCCTTCTTGCGGCTGACACCTCCCTGACCCACAGCCCACACAAAGGAGCGGGTCCCCCTCCAGGGCTGAGCCACCCCGAGCCTGGGGGCAGCCTTGAGCCCGAGATGACAGGAGCTTGGGACAGCTCCAGCCTGGATTGGCTCTGAGCTCTGGCAGCTCCAGCCTGGGGTGACCTGGCCTCAAAAGCAAGCCACCAGCTTTTGGGTTTCTTCTCACAGCTCTAAATGACACCTTCCATCTACCTGCCCCTACCGGGCAAAGGTTCACAATCATCTAACTTCCAGCAAGGCTGGAGAGGCGCCCCTTTCTGTCTCGGGGAGGTCCCCTTTCCCTTCCCCTCTTCTAGAAAGATAAGAAGGCATCTCCCAATCTCTGGGGAGGTATCTGTAGTTCTGCTCCTGCCAGTAGCAGGGTCTTCACTGCAGCTCCCACCCTGAGGCTGGAGGGCACAGAGGAGCTGGGGGAACCGAGAGAAGGGGATGAGACGGAGAGAAGCGGCTGAGAACGGCGGGGATGAGAATGGTGCGTGGTATGGGCGGCAGGGGTGGGAAGGCTGAGTGGATGGAGAGGAGCACAGGTTGAGGGATGGACAGGTGGAGGGCGGAAGCACAAACCCTAGCCTGAGCACGAAAAATTCCCTAGCTGCTGGAGTCCACAGGTGGGGAGGAATGCAGGATCTCAGCCTTCCCCCACCTCCTCCCAGAGCCCAGGACAGGGATCAGACTCTAAGCTCCTCCAGAGGATGGCTGTTAGCTTTACGGCTCCCCCGCCCCCGACATAAGAGCCCAACTCCTCTAGCCTTGGTTCCCGCCTCGCCACGGATCCGCAGCCTCCGCAGAGGCCCCATCACGCCCCCCGCGCTGGTGTCCGCCAGGCGGCGCCCTTCCACTTGCAGAACTGCGGCGCGGGACGCTTCCCCCCGCACTGCCGTCCCCTCCCCAGCCCCAAGCCCCCGGGCAGCTGACCCCAGGCCGCCCTTCGGGAAAGGCTGCGAGGGGCTGAGTGCGCGTTTGGCTCGACCTCTCTTTTAACCCAACAGGAAAGCCGGGCGGAGGGGGAAGGCGCTCGGCCCGGGACTGTGCACTGGGACTCCCAGTGCAGTGCTCCCCGCAGGGTCCTGGCCGCCGACTCCCGCCCTGTCCCCCAGCCCCACGGCGCCCGGGCGACTCACCTTCTCCCCGGTCAGCACGTGCAGTCCCTCGCGCACCTTGGCGAAGGAGCCCTCGCCCAGCTTCCTGCTGCCGATGAGGTAGTTGCCCACGCGCTTGTGGTGCTGGAAGTCGCGGAGCCGCTCGCGGGGCACGCCGCTCACCCAGGCCGGCAGGAAACTTCCCTCGCAGGCCGCCGCCGGCCTGGCCGTGTCCTCCGCGCAGCCGCCGCCCCCAGGCGCCGCCGGCTCCCCCAGGAGCCCGTCCCCCGCCGCCGCCGGCATCGCGCTCGCCCGCGGCTCAGACTGGGCTCCCGCGCTCGCAGCTCCTCCTCCCCAGGCTCCTCGGCTCCCCCGGCTTCTCCCGCCGCCGCCCTGGGCCCAGCCCCGCCCGGGTCTCCGCACCCCGCGCCCGGGGCCGCCGCGATCACGCCCCCCGCGCCGCCAAGCGTGGCGCGCAGACAATAGCGGCCGCCCAGGGGACGCGGGACCGGGGACCCCGCCCCCAAAAGTTCTTTCTCGGAGGGTCGCCCGGGTCCCTTTCAGGACACCAGGATTCCGCCCCAGGTCCCGTCCAGGAGGCTAATGACAGTCGTCCTGCTCGGGCGCGCGGGGTGGGGCGCGGTCCAGCGGCGCCTGGGTCCCGGGGTCCGGGTGCCTGGGTGCCTGGGTCCCGGAGCCCGGGCGCCTCTGCCTCGCAGCCGCCGTCTGGCCCGCACGGGCTCGGGTCCGGCTCCCGCGATGGCTCCTAGCCGTGCGCTGGGCGGCCGCTCCCGCCGAAGAGAAGCGCGCGGCGGGCTGCAGGCGCCCTCTGGAAGGCAGTAGAAGAAAGCCCCATTCAGTTTGAATTTGCAGAAATTTAATCCGGTCGCGGGCGGCGGGAACAGATGCGAGCTCCACTCCGCAGCCCGTGCACTTTCAAATCCCTAGTAGCCCCTCCTTCCCCGCGCGCCACAGTCAAACTCGACCCTCGCTCGAGAGGGGAGGGCCCGGGGAGGGGAGCGGCGGAGTGGACGCAGGAGCCACCTGAGCGCCAGACTGGGAGATCCTGCGCGGCCTCGGAGGCGCGCGCTCCCGGGCCGCCCAGGTCTGGCCGCCTCCGGCTGCGCCTCTCGCCCGGATTCTGGGCTTGGGTTTTCTGGACCTTTCGGCGGTGAAATCCCCCACTGGCCGCACCCACCCGGGGCGGGGGAAGGGGGAAGGCTCTCGAACTCCGTTGACTGTGGATCTGGTTGCGTGCCCGGCCCTGGGTCCGGCACACAGTAGGGCCCCCTGGACCTGGGGTGGAAGGATAGATGGATGGCTAGAAGAAAGGGTGGGGAGGTGGCCAGGCGTCTGCCCGGGCTCGCACGCAGGCTGGTTGGCTGTGTTGGAGGAGGTGCAGCCACAGCAATAATAGTAGCAGCAGCAACGTAGGAACCAGGGCGTTTGCTGCCTCTGCTTGTAGCTTACACCTTCTTTGCCTGCCGTTGAAATGATGCCGGTGATTGCAGGAGGTGGACCGGCGCTCGCCTTTCTTCGATGCTTTTGTTCTGCAAGCGCTATGACTGTGCTTATCGCATAAACAATTGCAACTGCCCTGACGACACTGGTACCTCTCCAGGATCCCCAACATCTTCTCAAACCGAAAATGAAGAATCTTGTGAGGGAGAAGCAGGAGGGTAGGTAGGAGGAGGCATTTACAAAATGCTACCTGTTGAGGTACCCGCATTTGATGGAAACTTCACCCCGATCATGCAACATCAGAGCTGGAAGGAAGGATTGGGTCCTAACAAAGTTCCTTTCATTGTTTATTCCTGAGTAAACAAGTATGGCATCGACCCATAGCACTGCTTTGAGATTGGGGGTGGGGGATATGGGGGTAACAACAGCTGTCATCAATCCAGTGTCTGGGGGGCTCGCTGACCCATCTGAAGAGGGACCCAGAGAAATGCCTGCTTTCGATAGGTCTAATTTTAAATATCTACTATATTCATCTACCTACCTGTTCCAAGTCACCAGCCTCAGTTATGACGACGGAAACTGTGTTTTCTGTTGTTCTGTCTCATTGTTTCCGTTTACCAATATTAAGGATACAGCTTAAAATGTTTTTCTTGCTGTGCTTAAGGGACTTCTTTGCTCCCACCACCCTTGACTATTTCAGTAAGGTTCATTCAATCCTTTTAATGTCTCTAATTCGGTAATCAAATCTTAAGAGGACAGTTGCATGGGAGGGGAATGGTGACCAGCATGGTGCCAGCAGAATAGATGTCCAGCAACTGTCTAAAGAATGAGGAATATGGAGCTCACTTTGGGGTCAAAACCACTCAGGCCAGGTGCGGTGGCTCACGCCTCTAATCCTAGCACTTTGGGAGGCGGAGGCAGATTGATCACGAGGTCAGAAGTTCAAGACCAGCCTGGCCAAGATGGTGAAACCCTGTCTCTACTAAAAATACAAAAATTAGCCAGGTTTGGTAGTGGGTGCCTGTAATCCCAGCTACTTGGAAGACTGAGGCAGAGAATTGCTTGAATCCAGGAGGTGGAGGTTGCAGTGAGCCGAAATCTTGCCACTGCACTCCAGCCTGGGTGACAGAGCAAGACTCGGTCTCAAAACAAACGAACAAACAAAAAAACACTCTGAATCTTCCATCAGAAACAGTTTGGGAGTCCACCCAATGTTGTGTTAATAGAGTATGTTTTTTTAAATGTTAGGACATGCATTGTTTATGAAATTTTAGAGATTTATTTATTAAGGTTTAAGGCAAATTTCAGAGACTTTTCCCCAAAGTATCTTTATGGTCTAAAAAAAAGTTTTCATAAAAATGGTGGATGACGTTCACAATGAAATCGAGATTTTCTTTCCTTTTAATTATCCTCTCAGGGTAGAGGTCAGGAAAGGGGTGAAGAAGAGAGAAAATCCAGGCCCATTAAATCTTTTTCAAGCCTGCTGCCTGGGTTTGATTCAAGTTCACTGCTAATTCCATAAGCTGGGATGGATGCCAAAGAGAAGTTCAAATCCTACCCGTGTGTCCCCTTTGTAACTGATTTTTGAACTACAAGTCCTAGTCTCTGAAATGGCCTGTTTAACAAGATATCACCCCAGAAATGTCTTTATGTAAAACAAATTGGTACACAATATATTGCCCTCATATTCAGTGTGCAGAAAGCATCTGATTATTCAATGCGACAGTAATGCAACATTGAAAATTCTCAGATAATCAGCCCAAACAAAATTTCTAGCCTTGTTCTCCTGCAGAGTTCCTGGGCAGGAGCGGGGGCGTGTATTTCAGCTGTCTTTGGCTGGGGTCGAGCCTCCGTACTGTCACACCTTTGCCTGTGCCTTGCCCACCCCCAATCTGCTGTCACCAACTCATTTCCACCTAGCACTGGTGTTCCCTTTCCCATGAAGCCCTCCCCAACCAATAAGCTACAAGAAGCCCATCTGCCCCTGTTGTCTCTTAGTTCATATAGTCATTTCACATTCCCCTTATGTCCTGTAGTACTTATTATCCATGGCTTTCTTCTCTTTTAGACTCATTGAGGACAGGAGCTGTGTCTAATTTCATTATTATTTACCCTACAGCACCTAGCACAGTGTCTGAGACATGATCATTGTTCAGTATATATTTGTTGAATAAATGAATGAAAGTAATCATTCACTGATTCTGAAGTGGAGTTTTACTACTCCTGAGAGCAAGACCCCGTCTAGTCCTGGGGGAGACAAGTTACCAGTGACTTTCTAAAAGCATTTTTAGTTGCTTTGTTGGTTGCCTTTGGGGATCAACAAATATAATTGTTTGTCTTATCAAAGATGGGTCATTCTCTAACTTGGATGAGTTAACCCTTTCAGAAACAGGACCAATCCCAGTGGGCTGTGAAGCCTGGGGAAGCTTTCTCAGTTGACTTGAACCAGCTGCTTCCTTCCTTCCCTTTTCCTTCCCCATCTCCTCGCCCCATATGGCTAGGAGACTGCCTCTGTGCTCTCACAGAACGCCAGCTAGAAGACCCAGCTGGAAGCAGTCAAAGACAATTAGAAGTAATCAGGCTGGCACAGCCAGGAAATGAGAGTTGGCTAGAAGGGGTTAGGCTGGCAGAAGCTGGCTGGTAACTGGAGAAGGAACGGATGGCAAAGCAAAGACGGCAGACATGGATCAACTTCGCCTGAAAAACATCCTGTGAACTCTATATGTTCATGTTCCCAAAACAAAGCGTCCCGTAAATAACAGACTGGACTTGAACCCGTGTCCCCAGAGTTCATGTCCAGCATTATTCTTTTACAACACCCAGCTGTTGAATGTGCACAATGCAACGGCTGAGGAAGAAAGGGTTACTCGGGCATAAAGACTCCTGTGCAAAGGCAGCCCAGTGTGCTATTGCAGACTAGGCTGGTGCTGGCCTCCCCACAATGAAACGCTTCTCTAAAAACGAGTCGTGACACTTACCTTTTGGTGCTTCAGTTTCCTTAAGCTGCAAAAATGGGATATTAAGGAATCGTATGGAGTCAATCAGATTATGCACACAAAGCGCTCAGATCAGTGCCTGACACCTTATAAGTACTAGTTGAATTTTGGCTTTCACACCTTCCGTCAGTACGACTATCATCATCATAAACTAAGAGAAGTCACTCAAGAATGCCCCAGAGGTCCACCAGCGCAACTGCCCCGGTAACTGATGAACCCAAAAGCATAATCTCCAGGTTGGATCTCTTCCCTGAAACCAGAGTCCTGTGGTCAACCCTCTGTACTTCTGTACTTCTTTCCTAAAGCTTCACCCAAATTCACCCCAAAATTTAGCAGTCATCCTTTGCTTCCTCTGCTTCTCGATCCTCATATCCAACCCACCAGCAAATCCTATACCCACCTGTGACCCTTTCTCTCACTTCCTAAGTGGCATCCTTTGCTTCCATGCCAAAACTAAAACCAGTTCTTCAAAATGGGAATCAGTAATCCCAGCACTTAAGGAGGCCAAGGAGGGAAGATCACCGGAGGTCAGGAGTTCAAGTTCAACCTGGTCAACATGGCGGAACCCCATCTCTACTAAAAATACAAAAACTAGTCGGGCATGGTGGTGGGCACCGGTAATCCCAGCTACTTGGGAGGCTGAGGCAGGGAGAATTGCTTGAACCCTAGAGGCGGAGGTTGCAGTGAGCCAAGATCATGCCATTGCACTCTAGCCTGGGCGACAGAGCAAGACTCCATCTCAAAAAAAAAAAAAAAAAGGGAAACGGATCATATCACTTCCCTACACTCGAAAGCTGTTCAACAGACCCCTGCAGAAAAGATTCCCCAAACACTTTATCATGATATGGCCCTGCCTCCCTCTTTACTGTCACCTCCTGGGAACCAGACACCAAGCTCTTCCCGCTTCAAAGCCTTTCCTTCTGTGTCTTGGTCCGCTCAGACTGCCGTAACAAAACACCTAGACTGGGCGGCTTAAACAACAGACATTTCTTTCTCGTAGTTCTGGAGAATCCAAGATTTAGGTTCCAGCAGATATGTATATAGAGAGATTTACTCTCAGGAGTTGACTCACATGATGATGGAGACTGAGGAGTCCAGAACGAAAGTGCTAGCAGATTCAGTTCCTGATGAAGGCTCTCCTCCTGGCTGACAGACGAGTGCTCTCGCCAAGTGCTCTCGTGGCAGAAAGACACACAGCCCTGGTCTCTTCTTCTTTTTATAAGGACACCAATCAGATCATGAGGGTCCCACTCTCATGCCCTCAATTAAGCCTAAATGCCTTCCGAAGGTCTCACCTTCAAATATCGTCGCATCAGAGGTCACAGCTGCAACGAATGAACTTGGGCCAGAGGGATACAAACATTCAGTTCATGACACTCTGCCAACAACACGCTTCTTCAACATCGCTGAAGTTTCTCGCTTCATTCAGGGCTCTGCTCTCTCAATCAGAAAATGAGAAATCAGGCAGACTGTCCCAGGGTCCCTAATCACCACGTTCAACTTTTCATGTCATTCATCATTAGCTAACAGAAGAATGTACATTCACTTGTTTATGTGTTTATTCTCTCTCTCTCTCTCTCTCTCTCTCTCTCTCTCTCTCTCTCATTTAATGTCCATGTATCCCAACACCTATGCATGCCTGGTACACTGTAGACGTTCAGCAATGGCAATGCAGAGCTTCATCTCAACTCTTGATCTGTCCGTATGGGAGAGGAAAGAGTTGCTGGACTTTGTGTGGTTGTGGCGCTGCAGCATGATGGTGTACGGATGGTGACACCAGGCCAACCTCCTGCAGCT